ACAGGTATCTGCCGGGGGGGGGTTTCTGGGGGTCCCTAGAGGGGTTCTGGGTCCCCCCCCATCTCTGACACTGGTCCCCCCATGGCAGGCGGGGGCAGCGGGATTGGTACAGGTATCTGCCGGGGGGGGGTTTCTGGGGGTCCCTAGAGGGGTTCTGGGTCCCCCCCCATCTCTGACACTGGTCCCCCCATGGCAGGCGGGGGCAGCGGGATTGGTACAGGTATCTGCCGGGGGGGGGGTTCTGGGGGTCCCTAGAGGGGTTCTGGGTCCCCCCCCATCTCTGACGCTGGTCCCCCCATGGCAGGCGGGGGCAGCGGCATTGGCCGCGCTGTCTGTGCCCGGCTGGCCGAAGAGGGGGCGCTGGTGGCCGTGGCCGACCAGAATGAAGCGGGGGCTGCGGAGACAGTGCGGGGGCTGCCACGGGGGGAGCCCGGCCAGGAGCATGAGGCGTTCGGGGTGGACGTCAGCTCAGCCCAGAGCGTGGGGGAGCTCATGGCTCGGATCCAGGTAACAGGGCTGGAGAGAACCCAGGAGTCTGGGCTCCCCCCACTGTAACCAATGGATTCCTCTCCCCTCCAGAGGACCCAGGAGTCCTGGCTCCCGCCCCACCACTCTAACTACTAGGCCCCACTGCCCACCCTGAGAACCCAGGTGTCTTGACACCCCTCCTGGCCTCCGGGAGAACCCAGGCTCCCTGACTCCCGCCCCCACCCCACTCTAAGCACAAGCCCCCACTGGTGTCTGGGAGAACCCAGGCCCGCTGACCCCTTCCCCCACACTCTAAAGCACAAGCCCCCACTGGCCTCGGGAGAACCCAGGCCCCCTGACCCCTTCCCCTGCCAACTCTAAGCACAAGCCCCCACTGGCCTCGTGGGAGAACCCAGGCCCGCTGACCCCTTCCCCTGCCCACTCTAAGCACAAGCCCCCACTGGCCTCGGGAGAACCCAGGCCTCCTGACCCCCTGTTGTCCCCAGGCCCGGTTCTCCGCCCCGCCCCGGGTCTGCGTGAGCTGCGCCGGAATCACCATGGACGAGTTCCTGCTCAAGCAGACAGAGGCGGCATTCGACAAGGTGCTCCAAGTCAACCTCAAGGTACGGGGTCTCCAGATGGGGGCAGGGCAGGGCCCCCCCAGCTGGGCCTCCCCCCAGGCTAACTTGGTCCCCCTCTCCCCCAGGGAACCTTCCTGGTCACCCAGGCTGTGGCACGTGGGCTGGTGGAGAGTGGAGCCCCAGGGGGGTCCATCATCAACATGGGCAGCATCGTGGGCAAGGTGAGAGCTGCGAGCTTCCTCGGGGCAGTGTCCTGGGGGGATAGTGGGGGCTGTGAGCTTCCTCAGGACAGTGTCCTGGCGGGATAATAGGAGCTGTGAACTTCCCTAGAGCAGTGCTATGGGGGGATAATAGGGGCTGTCAGCTTCCCTGGAGCAGTGCCCTGTACTCACATGTCCCTCTCCCTGACAGGTGGGGAACCTGGGGCAGGTCAGCTACGCAGCATCCAAGGCTGGCGTGGAGGGGCTGACCAAGACCGCTGCCAAAGAGCTGGCCAGGTGGGGCTGGGGGGGGACTGCAGGGTGGCAAGGGGGCAGGCTGAAGGGAGGAGGGCGGGGCAGGCTGAGGGGGAGGACTGCAGGGCAAGGGGGCAGGCTGCGGGGTGGGCTGGGAAGGCTGTGGGTACAGGCTGGGCAGTGCAGCTGGGGGGCAGGCCGAGGAGGCCTGGGAAAAGTAGGGCAAATCATGGGCAGGGGGGCAGTGGGATGATGTGGGGGGCTATTCTGGGAAGATGGGGGGCTGGAGCTTAGGCTGGGGTGGAGGTTTGGGAGGCATAGTTGGGGGCAGCTGGCGGTTGGGGGGAAGCAGGTCAGGGGGAGCTGTGGTGACCAGGCAGGGGGGCTGCCCTCTCCCTCATGGTCCCCCCCAGGTTCGGGATCCGCTGTAACGTGGTGCTTCCCGGGTTCATCGCCACCCCCATGACGGACAAGGTGCCTCCCAAAGTGCTGCAGAAGGTAACACCGGAGGGTCTGGGCCCCGTAACTCCCCCGCCCCCTCCCTTCAGAGAACCTGCCCTGTATTACCCTGAGCCCCACACCCCCCTCTGCCTCGTATCTGCCTCCCCCTGAGCCTCACAACCCCTCTCTGCCCCATATCTACCCACCCCACAACCCCCCTGCCCCATGTTCCCCTCAGCCCCATAGTGCCCCTCTACCCCGTTATCCACATGCC